CTCCAACCCATCTTGCAGGAAGGAAATATAATTCAATTTTAGGCTACATAGATTAGGTCAGCCGGAACCGGGAACACTTCGCATAAATCCTGATGTACTCTTTACATCATAAGAAGAATGGCATCTATGCTAATATTCGTCTCTTTGTTTATCCCGAGGTTTACCGCAGTCCGCCGGATCCAGGCCATATCCAGATCTGATGAAGGACCTGCATCTGGACGCGACGACAACGCAGTCCTGAAGTGTCAACTAGTCGCTCCCTTGTGAAGGCCTCCTTCCCTTTACCTCTGTACAGATAATCGTTGTCGGGATAATTCCGGTTCACGTGGATATGCCGAAGCGATAAAATTCTGTATTATAAATTTTAAGGCCAGACAAGTAGTTTGTTGCAGGTTGGTTTTTTAGGGAAGGACTACATGCCTGCACACATATATTCAAACGTGCATACCTATAGAATGAACTCTTAATGCACATGTGCACGCCATCAGCGTTCTCACAGGTTCACTTTTTTAAAGTTTGCGTAGAGAGAACTTAAGAGTTTTCTGTTAAAACGGTGTTGTGTTAGGGGCCCCTAAGTTAATAACAAATGATCGTTGCGACGGAAGAGAATCAATCAAAACTAACTTTAACTGGAAAATAAGCTGCCATAAAGCCAAAAAAAGCTGTCACTTTAATTTATTATTGTTGTATTTCCCTTGTGTGTATGTGTGAGAAGGAAGGAGACCGGGGTCGGCTGGCTGAGGCTCGTGGTTATTTTATTCAATAAACTCAGATCACACTCGCGCCACATGCGCTCACAACATAAATCTCATTCACAGTACAAAGTACTCGGTAACTTGTCAATAGAGTCCTCTTTCCTCCACGATCCCACGAGTCCTCAGCCCTCTCTCCTCGAACGCTGGTTCCCGTCTGACTTTATACAGACTCCCCACGCCAATTACTGCAACGAGACACAGGTGTCAGTCATTTTGCACTTGACCCACTTACCGCCGCTCGTCTCTCCACTCTCTCTCTCGTCGCAGACCTCGCTGAACCACGCCTCCCCCGCCACAATTATTTACCTATTATCACTGTAAAGCCGCTTTGGAACAATCTACGTAAGCGTTATATAAATGAAGATGACTTGACTTGACTTGAAAGTACAGCTCTGATCGAGCAAGTTCGGGGGTTCTCCTGGTGAGAAGAACACCACTCAATGAACAGGTTCCACTTCAACGCATAGAGGCACCTTGTAGAGGGGGCTCTAGCGGAAGTGATGGTGTCGACTACCACCTGGGGTAGGTCACCTAGAACCTCCGCTTCCCGTCCAGGGGCCAGACATGGAGTTTCCAGAGGTCTGGACGCGGGTGCCATAGAGTGCCCCGTCTCTGAGAGAGCAGTTTCTGTCTCAGAGGAATGGGCCAGGGAGGGGCTGTCGCGAGGAGCACCAGTTCCGGGAACCAGGTCCGGTTGGGCCAATACCGGCGCAACAAGCAAGACCTGATCCTCGTCCTCCCTGACTTTGCACAGGGTCTGTGCAAGAAGGCTCACTGGGGGGAACGCATACTTGCGTAGGTCCCGGGCCAGCTGTGTGCCAGTGCGTCCGTGCCGAGGGTGCCCTTGGTCAGGGAGAAGAACAACTGGTAGTGGGACGTGTCCATGGCGGTAAACAGATCTACCTGCGCAGTCCCAAAGCGCCTCCATATCAGCTGGACCACCTGGGGATGTAGTCACCATTCTCCCGGTAGCACCTGTTGCCATGAGAGCTCGTCGGCTGCACGGTTGAGCAGGCCCGGAATATAAATGGCACGAAGCGACCTCAGATGCTTCTGACTGCAAAGGAGGAGATGGCGGGCGAGTTGTGACATGCGGCGGGAGCGTAGACCACCCTGATGGTTGATGTACGCAACGGTCGCAGTGTTGTCCGTACGGACCAGTACATGCTTGCCTAGTAGCGGCATTTTGAAGCGGCCCAGCGTAAGATGTACTGCTAACAACTGGCAGTTGATATGCCAATGCAGTTGAGGCCCCATCCACAGACCTGAAGCTGCATGCCCATTGTACGTGGAAAAAAGCCGGTCTTCATATCAGCTGGAGGGACCGGCTCGATTGCGTCCTTCGCCAGTAAGACTACAATCTCTGCCCTGAGCACAGGAGCATTGTCCGCCAGATCACGGGTGAACTGAATAAAACCTGAAGGCTGGGGGACACCGGGCGAACTGAATCGCATAGCCGAGTCTGTTAGTATGGATGAGCCAGCGAGACGGGCTGGGAAGCGCTAGCCAGGCTCCTAGACACCGTGCAAGCGGGACCAGTGGCACCACAGACTTACCCGCGGTGGGGCAGCGCAGCGGAATGCAGGGACCCGACTTGAACGGCATAGCGGCCCGAAGTGGGGTCTGAATATGTGGTGCAACGCCTACCTGCTTCCGTCGAAGGGCAGAGTGAGTGTGCGGAGGCGTCAAAGTGTCCGGGACTCAGCCACTGCTCCCCCTCCGAAGCCCTCACGGTAACCCTCAGATCCACCTGGCTAAGCACCGAAGTAGGCCCATTCTGAGGTCCAGAATAAGCACTAGATTGGGGCATTGATCTTGGATCTTATGGATCTCTAAGTCTCGATTTTAATGCTGCCATAGTCATAATCCCGCATTTGGGAACATGAGCTATTCACAAAGGCTGCCTGATCGCGCCGTCGCACCAACAAGGGAACAGAGTTCTTGTCTCTTGAATTTCCAACAGCAGAGTCTCTTCCTGCAGTACTCGTGAAGTCAAGTAACTTCCTCAGCTCCGAAGTGAAAGACAATGAGTGCGCGCGATTCACGCACGCCAACGTTCATTGGCTCGTTCTGTAGACACTTGAGGATGATAGGGCTCCCTGAAGTGATCCCAATTACGTCGCCACGCCGACGTAATGTCGAATGTGAGTGACTGATAGGGAACTGTAAATGCCACATTAATTTTCTGATGACCTACACCCAATGATCATGTGTGAAAAAACTTATACATAAATTAATCACTTAGAAACCAAAACTCATTGTTTTGAGAAATAAATACATTTTTACCCCCTTAAATTTCTGTTTATAGTGTAAATATATATGTAATTTGTACAGTTATGTGTATATGTATATATATATATATATATATATATATATACATATATGTATGTATGTATGTATGTATGTATATTTAGAAATAAATGTGACTTTCTGACTTGGCTTGTATGCATATTCAGTGTGTATATATTAGGGGTGGAACGGTACATGTATTCGTATTGAACCGAAACGGTACGGGCGTCACGGTTCGGTGCGCGAATTTGCACGGAGAATACACGGTACAAATTAATTTAAAAAAAAAAAAACTCTTAAATAGCGATACATTTCGCTCTATTCGCTTTTGGTGTGACTGAACGCAGCAATGAACAGGCTGCGATCAAGATTGCAATGCTGGAGTGTGTGTGTGTGTGTGTGTGTGTGTGTGTGTGTATGCGCGCGCGCGAGAGAGAGAGGCGCGATGAACAGTGTGTGTGTGTGTGTGTGTGTGCGTGTGCGAGAGAGAGAGAGAGAGAGAGAGAGAGAGACAGAGAGAGGCGTGCGTGCGAATCGCGCGATCGAACAGTGTGTGTGTGAGAGAGAGAGAGAGAGAGAGAGAGAGAGAGAGAGAGAGAGAGAGAGAGAGAGAGAGAGAGAGAGAGAGAGAGAGAGAGAGAGAGAGAGAGAGAGAGAGCGCGGGCGCGAATCCCGCGATCGAACAGTGTGTGTGTGTGTGTGTGTGTGTGTGTGTGTGTGTGAGTGAGAGGCGCGGGCGCGAATCGCGCGATCGAACAGTGTGTGTGTGTGTGTGTAAGAGGCACGGGCGATCGAACAGTGGAAACATAAAAACATACTCCGTCATTTTTTTCATACAGGACATCATTTAAACTGCTAACTGTTTACTTATATTTGTGTACACTCGCAATAAAACACTACATTGTGCTTTTGTCACACTCTAAACTCTTGTCAAACTGTAACCTACAACTGTTAACAAAAGTTTTTAATGGTAGTATTATTTTATACGGAAATCAATTATTTATAATTCAGATGAGAATAAAGTTAGGGTTAATTAAAATTAAGGAAAACAAATATATTGATCTGAAATAGCAAATTAATTTTAAATTCATTCAGGTACAATTACCAAACATATCTCATGGTCTTTTCGTCTTTTTAATAATTTAATTAATAAACTAATTATATAAAACTACTGTCAGTGCACACCGAAATCGTACCGAACCGTGACGTCTGAACCGAGGTATGAACCGAACCGTGACTTCTGTGTACCGTTCCACCCCTAATATATATATATATATATATATATATATATATACATATACTGTGTATAAAATACAATATAGATTGTTTTGCAGCAGCTTCACAATAGTAACAAATTCAAATTCTGCTGTAAAGCAGTTCTAACAAGCCAGTAGTGTCATTATTTAGCTCAAGTCAGTTCAGTTCCATAACTGTGTAAAATTCATCAGTAGGCTACTGTATATACAGTGTATTTGTGTACATAAATGTATGTGTGACAAACTCCTGTAACTCCACTGCACACTGAACAGGCAAAAGACACAAAATAGTAGTGTTTTGCATTTTTCACATCTGTGTGCAGTTTGGCGTGTATGTGGCTAATCATTTGATGTTTGTGTGTATAGTTATTACGCAAAAACACAATTTTTGGAAGAGTTAAAATAGTTTTGAATGAAATGTTTGCATTTGCAAGAGATATCTTATGTTTTGCATGTTATGTGATTTTTTTTTGTAGAGTTTCAAGAAATGGAGCCATTGTTTCAGAAATGATGTGTAAGCAATTTGAAAAATTGTACTAAAACGAACAATTTAGAAAGCAAGCGCTCTAGCATGTGTTCCTCAAAAGCAAGCAATCTGTTATTTACAGAGGCATTCCTGATAAGATTACCGCTGAGTTTAAGAAGTACGAAGGGCTAACCCGCCCCTTACAGCCCCCATCAGAGCTGCTGTACTCCATACAGGGAATTATAAAGAGCTTGCTTGTGACCTGCCTCTCTGCGACTGAAGGCAGCAGGTTGCTTAATCAGTGCCCCAGCACAATTTTATTTGATTGTTTCTGCCTCCATGGACTGATAACAACATTTTATGACAAATCGCTGCTGGAGAGAAGCGGTCTCATTCCAATATCGCTCCTATTATTCTCTCTGTCTCGCTCTTTCCTCACCCTCTTCTCTTATTTTTTTGCACTCAGCGGCTGAATGGATAAAGCTGGGATGCCTGAGGCTTGTGGCCCCCTGGCAAGCAATGAACAAATCACCGAGGCAACAGCACCCAGTTCTAAACTGTTCAGCTGCAGCTGTGTGCGTCGATGGGTTCCCCTGGCCTACAGAGAGGAGCTCTACCAAGTCCTGCTCCTGACTGGGCCCCTGGTGAGTCCTCTCTCTGCTCCAATACACTCTCAGTGCTTCAGCTCCCTTTAAACTTTAAAGACAGGAGCTTTGCCAGCAGAGACTGGTTCTGGGATGCATGTTTAGTTTTGACCGATGCCTGTAACTTAAGTTAGTCTTGACTTGGAGGTAGTAATTGTATGATTGATGGCGATGTGAATGATGGCTCCTGTTTTATAGTCGTGAACAGTGTTTATCTGACTGTCACATGGAATTCCTGCGGTATGAATTCTGTTTATATTGGGAATTTATCTTGGTTAGGGGCTGTTCTTTTTTTAATTAAGGGGCTACCGGAGGAGTTTTGAGATCTCAAAATAGACTTGACCCTCCCTTCGCCAGCAATACATTTTTCTATGACCCTCGAAAATGATTGTGAAAACAGGCATGACCCCCCCACCCCCGATAATTTGTTGATTACTTCTGTACTGGTTTGCGCTTGGCAAAGATGTTCAGATATCTCTATGCCTAGTAGACCTACACCAAACGTTCATTAAAAAGGGTCCTGTACAGGGCTGTACAGTGCGACATATCGGCTATCTATGAAAAGATTGGTCTGTGCAATGAATAAATGTACCACTGTAGCACACCTGCAATGCAATTTTGTAAAACTCAGTTACTTGTGTTTGTTTTCAGACATGATAACAGTCGTTTTATACTTGTGCTTATGCGAAATCACGATTTTTGGTCGTGGATGATTTAATGATCTGCTTCTGTAGAAATATGGTAGTATCGTGCTACAACGCACATTCTATCAGCTGCAGTTCTGGCGCCTCAAGCTTGGTTTACACTTGCAGCGTCCGCATGAGCGCAAAGGTGCGCAAGGGCCCATTTCGCTTGGTGGTGGTGCTCTACATACGAAGATGCACGACTTTGAGCCGAAACTGTCCGAACATATACATCTCATCACACCGGCACCTAGTTTGTGCATCTAGTAGTAGCTTAAATTTACAAAATGAGCCTACAATAGAAGACATAAGCCCTTTTAATTATAGTCCATGTTTTATAAAAAAAAATTCTCGAAACTAAATGAAAATGTTTTGTGAAATTAGAAAATATGTAAGTTATTGTTGATTTAGTTGTATAGGCTATGTTCTCAAATTCATTTATTTAATATAGTGTGGTTTTGGTGAAGTGTACTAATATAAACATTAGTACAGGCGAAAGTATAAATAAGGCTTAAGTCCCAATACTGTAAAACTCGACGTACATTCACATCACACGTTAATGCAATGGTAGAGACAGGACACTGCACTTATTTACAATCACAAAAGTCCATTATTTGATCGTACTTTAAAGCTTTGCCGGGTAAAAATTTCATTGGCGTTCTGTTCTGCCATAATGCACTTTCTCTGAGTGCGTAAGCACATTGTCAAACAGCTCCAAACTGGACTTTATCTTTCGCGTCTGATTTTTGTTGGGTCAGACCCATCTGCTAGCGATGGGGGGCTGAGACTGAGAGAGCTACATGGAGCTACATGGAAATTATGCACCAAACAAGCCACTTTGAAATATTGCTGTTTTCATGAATACAAAAGTTGGGTGACCCTCCCCCTAGACTAAAAAAAGTTGGATGACCCTCCCCTCAACAAAGAATAAAAAGACATGACCCTCCCCTATTTTCCTCCGGTGGTCCATTCCATAAATATGACAGGTCCCTTAGGCATCTGTGGATTGAAAAATAATTATCATGATGGATTTAAAAATCCATGTGGGAGCAATAGTGGGTACCACTATTAAAGCAAATACCAAAATATATTTAAAATGTGATACACTCACCACCTACTTTGTAAGGTACACCTGTTCAACTGCGCATTAACACAAATATCTAATCAGCCAATCACATGGCAGCAACTCAATGCATTTAGGCATGGTCAAGATGCCCTGCTGAAGTTCAAATTGAGCATCAGCATTTGGAATAAAGGTGATTTAAGTGACCTTGAACATGACATGGACTGATGATTTACTGGGATGTTCACGCACAGTCATCTCTAGGGTTTACAGAGAAAGGTCAGAAAAAGAGAAAATATCCAGTGCGTGACAGTTCTGTGAGTGAAAATGCCTTATTGATTCCAGAGGTCATAGGAGAATGGTCAGAGTGGTTCGAGGTGATAGAAACAACAGTAACTCAAATAACCACTCGTTACAACCGAGGTCTGCAGAGGAGCATCTCTGAACACACAACATGTCGAACCTTGAAGTAGATGGACTACAGCAGCAGAACACACACCGGTGTCACTCCTGTCAGATGAGAACAGGGAACTGAGGCTACAATACACACATGATCACCAAAATTGGACAAAAAAAGATTGGAAAAACTTTGCCTGGTCTGATGAGTCTTGATTTCTGCGACATTCAGATGGTGGGGTCAGAAATTGGCATAAACAACATAAAAGCATGGATCAATCTTGCCTTGTATCAACGGTTCAGGCTGGTGCTTATGGTGTGTAGTGGATTGTGGGAGATTTTCTTCACACACTTTGGGCCTGTTTGTAAGAAGTGAGCATATTTTAAACGCCACAGCCTACCTGAGTATTGTTGCTGACCATGTCCATCCCTTTATGACCACAGTGTACCAGTGTACTACACAGTGTACTACTTCCACCAGGATAACTCAATCCAATAGAGCATCTTTGCAATCATCTGCAGATTCGCAATCATGGATGTGCAGCCAACAAATCTGCAGCAACTGTGTGATTCTATCATGTCAATATGGGCCAAAATCTCTGAGGAATGTTTCCTGCACCTTGTTGAATCTACAGTATGCCACAAAGAATTAAGGCAGTTCTGAAGACAAAGGGTCAAACCTAGCAAGGTGTACCTAATAAAGTGGCCGATGAGTGTATATGTAAAATATATTGTCATCACCCTTATGAAAAGAAAACATATTTCCCTATATATGAATGATCAATATATTAAGTGGTTTAACAGTATACAGAATATTGTATTGTGTTATGTATTATTCAATATATTGTAATATATTAAGGAATTGCCGCTTTTCATATATTGAAAAAATATGTGACAATATATTTGCTAATATATCATAATGTATGTAATTTTATATTCAGTAATACACTTCATAATATACTGCATGTGTAATATATTTCAGATATATTTACTCATGCAGCATAAACACACATATATAGGAGAAATATATAATGTAATATATTTTTTAATTATTTACATTATACATGTTTTATATTTTCAAGCTACTTAATAAGAGCACAAGCACATCTGTATTTAATAGAGTATTTAGCAGACTATCACTGTGCTGAAGAGTTTACTGCCTTACTTATAACGGTGTTGAGCCAATCGTCAACCTCACCACCCCAATTTTTTTTTTGGGTAACCCCAAAAACTCACACATACCAGAAAACCTTTTACATAAAAAAATAAAAAAATAAAAAAACATTAACCACTAACAGATCTCCCCATTTATTAATATTAAGCAAAACACATAAAATAACACCTATTTTTTACATTTGCTCTCCTTTAACATTCAGAAGCAAAGCATGCTGGGAACTAGAAATTCCGTGAATGTGTGTGTATACACACTATATTGGCAAAAGTTTTGGGAGCTCTGCCTTTACATGAACTTTAATGACATCCCACTCTTAATCCATAGTGTTTAATATGGAGTTGGTAAACCCTTTAGAAGCGCATTTGTGAGGTCAGGCATTGATGTTGGACGAGAAGGCCTGGCTCGCAGTCTAGTTGAGGGTTGAGGTCAGGACTTTGTGCAGGCCAGTCAAGTTCCTCCACACCAAATTCGCTCATCCATGTCTTTATGGACCTTGCTTTGTGCACTGGTGCACAGCCATGTTGGAACAGAAAGGGGCCATGCCCAAACTGTTCCCAGAAAGTTGGGAAAATGAAATTGTCCAAAATGTCTTGGTTTGCTGAAGCATTAAGAGTTCCTTTCACTGGAAATAAGGGGCCAAGCCCAACCCCTGAAAAACAACTTCACACCATAGTCTCCCCTCCATCAAACTGTAACCTTGGCACAATGCAGTCAGACAAGTACCGTTCTCCTGGCAACCGCCAAACCCAGACTCATCCATTGGATTACCAGACAAAGAAACGTGAATCGTCACTCCAGAGAACACGTCTCCACTGCTCTAGAGTAGTGTCTAGTGGCTTTACACCACTGCATCCGATGCTTTGCATTGCACTTGGCGATGTAAGGCTTTGATGCAGCTGCTCGGCCATGGAAACCCATTCCATTAAGCTCTCTACGCATTGTTCTTGAGCTAATCTGAAGGCCACATGAAGTGTGGAGGTCTGTAGCTTGTGACTCTGCAGGAATTTGCAGACATCTGCGCACTGTGTGCCTCAGCATGCGCTGACTCACTCCGCTGGCCTACCACCATAAGTTGACAGTGCAATATTTAGTAGTGAGGAAATTTCACGAATGGACTTATTGCACAGGTGGCAACCTATCACGGTACCACTCTTGAATTCACTGAGCTCCTGAGAGCGACCCATTCTTTCACACATTTTTTTTAGAAGCAGTCTGCATGGAAGTGATTGGAACACCTGAATTCAAGGGCTGTCCCAATACTTTTGGCAATATAGTGTAAATGTGTGAACATATATTCACATTTATATGGGAACATGTGTGTGCAATATATCTACACAATAAAGGATAAAACTTTGTGAATTTTACATGTAATACTATTTTTTGTCTTTATTTATTAATATTTATTAATATATAGCCATACATGGTCAATGAATATATTGCAGTATATTGAAAAATATCAGCACTAGTTTCCCATATGGAAATGTATTATGTAATATATCATAATTATATTTTGCAGTATATTCCCATATATTTTTGTTCCGTAAGAGCACATCTCTAAACTGTAAATGCGACTATCAGGCATGAAGATTATAAACATAAACATCATGATTTTCTATAAAGTTGTTTTGCTGGATGTAATATGGATTCAAATAGTCCAACATTCTTTGGGCTGCAGACTGAATTGATTTATGTGTGGTTTATTTGTATGCTTGTGTTCTCTGTTGATGTCTGAATTTTCATTTTCGTCAGCTCGTCTCCAGGATCTTAAACTTTCTACTGCCATTCGTCATCACAATATTCTGTGGTCACCTAGGAAATGCTGAATTGGCTGGATATGCCCTGGCTTCTGCGGTAATGCATCCACTGTCTATCCCTGTCAGAAAAAAAAAAAATCTGCACAAAAAATTACCTTTGGGGCAACAACAGCTTCACTGGGACAGTACCTTCAAAGGTACCAAAGGTGTACTTTTTCTAAGGGTTGCATATGTATTACCTTATTGTACCTAAAGGTACTAAATCCACCCTTTAGAGGTAAATTAGGTACAAAAATATATGCCACATCACAAGTTAAAGGTAAGGTCTACTTTAAGACATTCCGTCCAGTTATTACATCTCTGATATTTAAATATATAACTATATTATATCATTAATGAAATCCTTCTGACTCACACATTTCACTGAAAAATCTAAAGCCTCGGTATCTTGTCACGTCTGTGTTTTGTAAGCTAAGACTATTTCCTATTTCAAGAAGTGCTCTGGAAGATCCGATCGGAAATCCATTGCCTGTATCTCCAAGAAGGAAGCAGTGAGAGATAAGGAGACTGTGTTCAGTGATTGCACTGCTAAAGTATCATTTGTCTCCCTCAGACTCTTAATGTGACCACAACAGCCACTGGATGCGGTCTGGCCCTTGCATGTGACACACTCGTCTCTCAGGTATTCTTAACTCATGATGACCTTAACATGTTTAAAGTAATTATGTATGTTGTCTTGCCAACTATCTCAATAATGTTTATTGTGTCTGTATAATACCCCCCCCCCCCCCCCCCCCACCCAACACACACACACACACACACACACACACACAAACCCACAGCTGAACTCATAGTATTTCACAAAGTGAGAGATGTATCAATATCTCCCTCTGTTACAAAAACAAACATATCTGAAACAACTCAACCAACATCAACATCAACTAACTTAATTCTTACATAAAGTAATGAGTCCATCCTCTATATTATGTACTAATGATCTGTTGTCCATGTCCAGACATTTGGCAGTAAGAACCTTAAGCGTGTGGGGGAAATTCTCCAGAGAAGCATACTCATCCTCTTACTCTTCTGTCTGCCATGCTGGGCCATACTCATCAACGCTGAGTCAATACTCCTCACCCTGAAGCAAGAGCCGGAGGTGGCCAGGTCAGACTAATCCAGTCAGATTTTTAGATCAGAACTTTTAGTAGGGTAATTGTTACCGATGTAAAAACTTTTTTCCATGTAGATAGGAGACCAAGCTAAATTTTGTGCCAAAAGAAACAGAATAAGCAGTTTCCACACTTTAAAAATCAGCAGTTGAAATATCGAGGGAACTAAAACTTCTGAGATGAATAAAGAATTTAGCTATACATCTGGGGATAAAAGTCCAGATCAAATTAATCTGGGCCTCCATATTACAAGTATTAGCTGGGACTTTTTTCTTCACTGCTTTCTTTTCATGTTTTTTTTTTTCACCAAATACTGACAACAGCTATTTAAAAAAAAAAAAGATTAACTTCTTGCCTATTTTTTTTTATCATATAAATTTTAAATCTTAAAGTCACCATGAAATAAAAGTTTCTTCCCTATTGTTACGTATATCCACATGAAACGACTTCCTGAACAAGAAAAATTGTAGGACGGAACTTGATTTTTATCCATTGGGAATTGATTGGATGGTTGTGGTTTGCTATTGCTGTGATCTCATGTGTGTAACAAGGAGGCTAAAGACCGCAGTCTCTAGCGTCAGTCACTAGAGTGCCTCTTGAGATCAGGGGAGTGAGGTTTACATGCACAGCTTTGTACACTCACCCCCCTAAACCTCACTCCCATCCGGGTCACGGCACCAAATGTAACCGGTTCTTCTCGTCCCGCTTTGAACGGGATCCGAACCGGGGTCTCCGGCATGGGAGGCGGGCGCGCTAACAAGGAGGCTAACGACCGCAGTCTCTGATCTCAGTAGATAGTTATGAAACAGATAAACATACCTGACACTTATCTGATACCTGATATTTATCATAAAATAAATATGATGTGCACTTGTCACCATGTCCTCTTATTTCCACATATTTAGCAGAAGACAAACATATAACCCAAAAAGGGTAAAATTACTAAATTAATCACACAGGAAAGTAAACTAACAGTATACACATAAATTGGGGTGAAAATATAGACATAAAAGCAATGATTACAATAAAGATTAAATAAGATTACCAGAAACAAAATGAAACCTACCTCTCACATTCAGTTACATTGCAAAAGGGAAGAGGAGGAGACAGAACAGGAAATTAAGTTGGCTCATGACATCACAACAACTAAAGGGAAAAGTACTCATTTCAATCAAGCAGCTAGGTATATGTAAATGAACAATTTTGTGTGAATTCTACTTAATGCATACATTTAACAAGAGGCTGCGGTCTTTAGCATCCTTGTTAGTGCGCCCGTCTCCCATGCCAGAATATCAAGGGTTTAGAAAGACTGGCTACATTTGGTGCCGTGACCTGGGTGGGAGAGAGGTTTAAGGTGGTGAGTGTAACAGAGGCAAGCTAGTAAGAACTGTGCATGTAAACCTCACTCCCCTGGCCTCAAGAAGCATGCTAGAGACTGCAGTTGTCAAAATCCTGGACTCCACGAAACCCTCGGAAACCAGGTCCTGACCTCGTTCATGCCCTACCTAGCTCGGGACATCCAGGAATCACAGCCACCATCCAACTACTCCAAAACCGTTATTGGTGGCCCTCCTTAAACTCCAATACCACAACCCACATCCAACACTGCCAGATCTGTAATACCCAGAAGTCGTCACGTCAACTACCTGCCGGTCTGTTACAACCTCTTCCCATTCCGCAACGCCCGTGGTCGCACATTGCCATCGACTTCATTACCAATCTCCCTGTCTCCGAAGGTCACACCACCATCCTCACTGTTATCGATCGTTTCTCCAAGGCCTGTCACCTAATCCCCCTCGCAAAACTCCCCACAGCTCTCCAGACCGCCGAACATCTCTGCAATCAAGTGTTCCGATTCTACGGCCTACCAGAAGACATAGTCTCCGATCGAGGACCCCAGTTCACATCTCAAGTTTGGTCAGCCTTCTTCAAGACCCTTCAGGTCAACATTAGTCTAACATCCGGGTATCATCCTCAATCCAACGGGCAGGCCGAATGCATGAACCAGGAGGTAATCAGATTCCTACTCTCCTACTGCCATCAGCACCAACAGGATTGGAGTCGTTACCTGATCTGGGCCGAGTACGCCCAGAATTCCATCCGGAAGCACTCCTCCGGCCTTACCCCCTTTCAGTGCGTCCTGGGTTTTCAACCACCTCTCTTCCCGTGGTCAGGAGAACCCACAAATATTCCAGCCGTGAACGATTGGCTACAGCGCAGCGAGGAGACCTGGAACCAAGCCCATACCCTTCTTCAACGAGCGATTCGCCATCAGAGGGAACAGGCTAACCGTCGTCGGCGGCCGGGGCTGGAATACCACCTGGGCCAGTGGGTCTGGTTGTCGACCCGAGATCTACGCCTGCGACTCCCCTGCAAAAAGCTCAGTCCCAGGTACGTGGGCCCATTTAAGATCACACAACAGATCACACCAGTCTCTTTCCGTCTCGACTTGCCTAATCACTATCGTCTCGCTCCTACCTTCCATGTCTCTCTACTCAAACCCGCTGATGGGCCTAACGACAGGGAGGAGGGGAGATCCCGAGACCAGAGCCCCCAGCCCATCCTTGTGGAAGGCGAGGAGGTCTATCAAATTCAGGAGCTCGTGGATTCCAGATGTCGGGGCAGTTCCCTGCAGTACCTGGTTCATTGGGAGGGATATGGCCCTGAGGAACGTTCGTAGGTAGACACCACAGACATCCTGGACCCCAGCCTGATTACAGACTTCCACCAGGCTCATCCCACCAAACCGGCTCCACGACTACGTGGAAGACCCCGACATCGACAGGCTCCTCGCGCCAGGAGTCGCTCGCAGGGAGGGGGCTCTGTCACAATCCTGGACTCAGCAACCTCCCTCTCTGGCCAGCAGAGGGAGCCCTCACCCGAATATTGACTCTCATACTCACACTACATTTCCCATAAGCCTCACTTACTCTGATCACCATGCCCAGCTGCAGCCCATCTACCGGGCTATTTAACTGCACCACGCGCAGCTCTCAGTGCAAAGTTTTGTTTTGCTTTAGTGAACACTACCGAGCGTTATTATCCAGTGACTGCCTGACCATTTATCGACCCCTTCTGCCTCGGATTTCTCCCTGCCTGCTGCCTGTCTACGTTACCCCCGCCTGGTTCACGGACTCTGCCTGTTCTCTGCCTGCCCCGATCCTCTGCCTGGTAATTCGACCTCGATTAAGCCTTGTCTCCAGCGCTGTGTCTGCTGTCTTTGACCCCTACCTGTCTGACTAATCTGTAAATCGGTTACACATTGATAAATCATATATAATAAATATTGCAATATTACATAAAAAAATAAGAATGGTCAATTTTGACAATTTTTACTGTCAATTTTGACCTACATGTGTGGATGCATCTAAATTAATTTTAAGTTAGATAATAGTTTATCCAATATGCCAAAAAAAGTGCACTTAATTATATTGAACGTGGCCTTGTTGTTACGTGCAGCCTTGGAAGAATTTAGAATTGAAAACAAAATGAATTGGAACTTGGGAACATTGAGAAAAACCACCACAACGAAACAGCTAAGCATACTAGCATAGAAAAATAACCAACAAACTAAGGGTACCTTTACACGACAACGATATACTAAAAACAGAAAAGTTTATCCTTTGCATTTTTTTGCGTACAGGCAGCAACATTGTCTAAACCCCCGTTCACACGGATCCACAAAAACGATTAAAAACTACGTATTCTGCTGCTAGGCCAGTATTGGTGATGTCACTTTGTAAAGAAACACTACGCGCCAATAGAATGAACATGTAATACGCATGCACATGACATCACCGTTTTCACAAATTCACATTTTTGTAGTTTACACGGAGACAATAACGATATCGTTTTCAAAAACGTGCACCTTGAAACCAGTTTTCAAAAGTTCACATTTTAATATAATATAATATAATATAATATAATATAATATAATATAATATAAGAAAAAGAAGAATATAATACGTTTTGAGAAGTCAGGTGATTAGTTGAGGCATGGCCCCACTCCTGAACCTCAGTTAACTAGTTACCTCCCTTTTAACACGTTGTTTTAATAATCTTTAAATAACGTCTTATTTTGATGTGTTGAGTAACACACTAAAACACATGTAAAGTACTTGATTATAATTTTAACCGTAGTGCGTTATTCAATAGCTTATTACGTTTAAAGTAAAAAAATAAATAAAAATGTAAACTGCTATACTTTATTAGCCTGGATGCCAGCCCGAATCCGACCCACCCACAACATTTTTTGGTCGGGAAGTTTGGTCTGGGCTCGATCCATTGAGGAGTAATTATGATCAGTTCAGAAATCGTCGGGCCAATCAAATTGCCAGGGCGGGGTTTATACGATGATGGACAGATGATCTGCAGTTACGTAATCATCACGTTATCAAAGAGCGCTTGGGTTGAACTGGTTTACAACAAACATGACAGCAGCTGGAGAATTGAGATGTATAGATTCCGGCGCTATTGCTCTATTGTAAAAGAAAGCGACAGCGCATTCATTTTAAAAGATGAACAGAGAACTGCAATCAAGGCATTTGTCGATCGGAAAGATGTGTTTGCTGTCCTTCCTACGGGATTCAGCAAAAGTTTAATTTATCAGCTGGCTCCGATGGTCGCTAAGAAGATGGGATGCAATGAACACCTTGTGGTCGTTGTGGTTTCTCCTTTGGTAGCACTCATGGAGGACCAAGTAAAAGACTCATTATTTTACTACTTCCAGCGTGCGTGCAGTTGAGTTCTGTTGACAACTATGCGTAGCTCAACTTACGTCACTTAATGCGCTGCTCTGATTGGTTGTAGGTCTGTCCAATTGAGTGCAGAGTTGTTGTTTTTTCCTGGTTTGGTTAAGACATGCCTCATAATCAAAGCCCTATGGAGCAGTATCAGACTCACATTCTGACTAGAATAGAATAGAATAGAATCATTTAATCATATTATGTGTAATTTCAAACCCATTTAAATTCATGCCATTCAAGTTTCAATAGATATAACATTAAGGTATATTTTAGTTTACCAGAAATGCTTGACAGCTCAATTAGCATAACAATTTAACCATATATCAGAGATAACAGAATTATGAAATTACATATAAAGATGTAGGCGTCCCAGATAGAAACATAGTTCGGCCCAGATCTGGCCCACATCTGGTACACATGGATTCCAAATGTACCAGATCTGGGCCGACACTTTTGCTGTCTAGGCTACTTAAATCCTACCAAAGTGGATCAAAAAAGCTGAACTCTAAAGTTATTTTAGATTTTATAGTTAAACTCTTAGTTAAAATTTATACTATAGTTTACAGTTAAAGTAAATTTAAACTATAATACATTTTCATTTAATTGCAATTAACATGCAACTAAGTGTCCAAAAACATTAATTTCAGATCGCACCTAAGTATATTCATTTAAAGTATATTATTTCCATAATACTGTTTTTTAAAAGAGAAATCTGATTGTTCTCACAAAAAAGAGAAAGAAATTAGGACATAAATAGGACACCATAAATATGAAACCAAAATTGTAACTATTTATGGAGTGTCAATTATCCTGTTTTTGGGTATTATACTGTTCAAAGATGCTCAAGGTTCCATTATTCATCCCTATTTCAGGATTGCACAGCTGTATGTTATGGCGTTCCTTCCTGCTGTTCCTGTAAGTATAACAACATGTTTTTCCAAAAACATTCAGTGGTTGTGCTTTAATCTCTGTGCTGGCCTTGTTTTTTTGAGTATAAGTTCAAATATTTCCTGGCTCTTTCTCCAAATCGTGCTGCTCACTCTTCATGACACTTTTTTGGTCTATGACCAGTGTGTTTCCTGTCAAATTGTATATTATTTTCAGTTCAACACATATAGTATTTAAAGGGTGTAACCACATTTATACAGTCAGTTGTCACAAGCTTTCCTTCTGCTGACGGCACCGATATCTTCCTTTTATTTCCTAGGCCATGTTTCTGCACCATCTGCAGGTGTCTTATCTGCAAAACCAGGTACAACATCTCAGTAATCTCAAGATGTTGCATTGGACAGCTTGTATATGAGCAAAAGAGATGAAAACTGAAGAAATAATGTATTGTCATGTTTCAGGGCATCATCCTGCCCCAGATGTACACTGCAGTGGCTGCCAACATTTTAAACGTAGCAACAAACTACATCCTTCTTCACTCAATGAAGCTGGGAGTGAAGTATGTATGATTAATAGGCTAGTAATTTTAATAATAATAATAAACAATAATAAAAACACTGAAGAGCCAGGAAATAAATTATCTTTAGGATAAGCAGGTGTGTGTGTGTTTCTGCAGGGGCTCTGCTGTAGCCAACAGTTTCTCACAGATCTCCATCTGCCTCCTGCTGTTTGCGTACATACGCTGGAAAAAGCTGCATGTGAAGACATGGGATGGTGAGAAATATATGGAAAGCCGCACACACACACACACACACACACACACACACACACACACACACACACACACACACACACACACACACACACACACACACACACACTTTTATGCCATTATGGGGTCATTGACTTCTAAAATGATTACATTAAGTCATCTATAATTATCACTCCCTGAGGGGCGTTCATATCAGACATTGATTTGTAGTGACAAATTGATTCTTGACCATGAGCGAGCGAGATGGCTAATAATGCAGTCAGCTGAGTTCCAATGTATGCAAATGAGCCTCAATTTATGCGGCGACTGCCAATGGCAGTGCCGACAGCGATGCATCACTGAATATACAATGCTGCTCAAAAGTGCACACACCCCTTTCAGAATCTGTGAAAATGTGAATAATTTTAACAAAATAAGAGGGATCATACAAAATGCATATTATTTTATTTAGTACTGTCCTGAATAGGATATTTTACATAAAAGATGTTTACATATCAAGTCAAGTCAACTTTATTATATTACATATAGGCCGAGTTATTATTCATTTATTTATTTATTATTCACAAGACAAAAAATAGCTGAATTTATAAAAATGTTCATACGTTTTATGTTCAACTTGTCCATAAGTTTATGTATTCTTGATTCTTAATACTGCATTTCGTAACCTGGATGATCCACAACTGTTTTTTGTTTTGTTTTGTGATGGTTGTTCTTGAGTCCGTTGTTTGTCCTGAGCAGTTAAACTGTCCAATGTTCTTCAGAAAAGTCCTCCAGGTCCTGGAAATTCTCAGTTCCCTTTCAAGGGAACTCGAGCTGCGTCGAGACGCTGCGGGAACGCCCCTGCGTGATTGCGTCGTGAAGCACGTGTATAATCAGTCCAATGGAGAGACGAGACGTCATAGGCGGGTGACGTCATCGACCAGGAAACTATAAAGCACACCTGAAAACAGACCGCGCTGCTAGCTGCTGTGCCTTCAGCAAGCGCTCTGTGTGATCTTGTCTCTGTCTATTTATTGTTGTTTGTCCACAAGCATATATATATTAGACAGGAGTATGGAGAGCAAACAGCCTTGGATCGTGTGTTCGTCCCTGCCCTTGCTTCATTATGAGTGGGGACACATGTGTTGGGGATTCATGTGTTGGATTCATGTGTTGTCTGTTTGGGAGTGGAGCATGCACGGTCAGCTCTAGTAAATTGGGGCTGACAGTGTTCATTCATAAATTCCCGACGTGTAACATATGCACTATCAAGAGTTTTAGCTCTGCTCTTGTTGGCTTTCTTCTCGAGGGAAGAAAGTCAAGAAAGATTTGGCTCGGATCTCGCGTTTGCCGAGGCAACGCGTAGATTACGGGTCTGCAATAAAGATTCTGTGACTCGATCTCGGATCTCGCGTGTGCCGAGGCAGCGCGTAGATTACGGGCTGCAGGAGTCGTGGCTCGGATCTCGCGTTTGCCGAGGCAGCGCGTAGATTACGGGTTTGCAATAAGAATCTATTGGCTCAGATCTCGCGTTTGCCGAGGCAGCGCGTTGATTATGGGTCTGCATCTCTACAATAAGAATCTATGGCTCAGATAGCACGCTTGCCGAGGCAGCGCGTAGATTATGGGTCTGCATATCTGCATAATAAAGTGGCTCTTCTCACGTTTGCCGAGGGAACGTGTAGATAATGGTCCACAATGTATGCTAATATGCACAGGGAACCGAGTAGACCGAGTGCTTCTTATTTATTAAATCCAGGCAATTGGTTGATATAACATTGATTAAAAATAAGATACAAATGATACAAAACGAAAATTTTTTTTAGAAAGGCTTTCTACAATACAAAACTTAATGAAGTGGTCAAAATCATGTCTGACCCACATGTCTCCCGATATATTGCGGCATCTTGCAACACATCCCGCCTTGCCAAAACACACATGTGGGAGATGCGGAATGGATAAAAATAACTAAAAAAATAAAAGAGGACTTGAATAAGCCCATTAATGGCATTTTTGAGCCATGCTCTTAACGAACTATGTTTTATTTCCTCTTTCCATATTGTGAATAATAAATGTGTATCATTTTAATTTGCTTGTTACACAATGGAGTCTAACTTATTGTAATAATTATTTGACGTAGACTACTTTTAAACTTAGAATTATTCCTTGGCATCCTCGCATACTAAATGAAGTTCCTAAACGTAAATTAGGGAGGAGCGAGCCCATCCAATCTTTCAATCAACAAACAGAGTATATAAGCAGCCGCTTACCTCTCCCTAGTATCAGCTGTTCCAGTATGCATTACTGCCGCAAGGAATAATGTCCGACATCCCGGAAATCCAGCACTTTCCTTCAGACGACGAACTGACAAGTTTTCCTGGGACACAGCCAGTTACACCCCGCGTGAGATCGAATCTTACGGATCATCTTCATGAGCGTTCTGATCGAGAAATCCAGCGCTCATTTAAACCACGTTCCAAAAGGCAACGCTCTCCTCCATCTTCAAGATCGCCAGTTTTAACCGAGCCTCGTCCTTCTTCTCTCCATTCTTCCGCTGCTAATACACCGATTCCACCCATTTCAAAATGTTCAGTCAACAGCCTACGTCAAGTCCTCTCCAGCTCCGGAATCCATTTCTCCTGCAGATCAGCAAAAGCTCAACTCTACGATCTTTTCATCAGTTCTTACAATTCCAGCATTCCATCAAACACTTCAACATCTTATAAAAGCAAGACTCGCACCTCTTCTACCTCCGTTTCTCTCCCGGTTCGGCGTTCTGAACCCACACAATCCCAACGCGCCGATCCAAAGGCCGCCGGCGCCGCCGCGGCTCACACTTCCTTGTCCGCCGGTATTTCCACCCGGCCAGCAACAGCGGCTGCAAAAAAACAGTTCCGCTTCTTCTCCAGCTCTCACAAACTTCATGCAGTCAGCCCCACTCCCCAGGCAAGAACCAAACTCACAAACACATTCCTCCGACTTCCCTCTGCTTCTCCAGTTCTCTCTAAATTTCTTTATAATAACCCTTGTGCCAGGTCACCCTCGCAGACATTACATTCTCTCACCGCGGCGATTCTCTCAAACCAACCTACTCAAAGAGCGGATCCTAGCGCGAGGATGCCTTCGCTAGCCATCTTCCCTCTTTCCTTCCATTCCAATTCGCCTCACCCCTTTTTCCCCTTCTATCTTCCAATTGTCTCCTAATATTCTTTCCAGTTCAACTCAGAGCGTGAGGTTGCCTCAGCAAAGGATTTCTACACTTTTTTTTTTTACACAAAACCTCCCCTTCCTCTCACTTCAGGCCATGCCAGCCATCTTGGACACTAGCAGTGTTCTTCTTCTTCGTCTTTTACTGGCGACTTGCAACCAAATGGAGCATTATCACCACCTACTGTATCTTATTTACTTTTGGTTAAATCCTTAGGTTTAGTCCAGTTTGTTGTAGGTAAGATGATATGATTTTAAGCACCATCTTTCCGGATTTATTTGAGAAGATATTTGTAATGTTCATTTGTTTGATTCCTTCATGTTCCAGTCCATTCCTTAAATCCATTCTTCGATTTGAGTATTTAATGCACTCAAACAGCACATGTTCCACAGTTTCCACCAGCAGTGTTGGGGAGTAATGGAATATATGTACCGGCGTTACGTATTCAGAATACAAATTATGAGTACGCCCATCTGTATTCCGTTACAGTTACTATTTAAATAGTTGGTATTTAGAATACAGTTACATTGTTGAAATCAATGGATTACATTACGATACTTCTCTGTTTCACGAGTTTAGTCACTCTCTAAGAATGCGTTTCTATCTCGGAAATTCAAACAGTATTTCACATTAAAGAAAGAGAAGGGAGAACGAAATATAGCCTAACTGTGCAGTGCAACCTCTGCTTGCCAGCAACCAACCTCCTTTCAGCGTCCAAAGACTCCACCTCCAACCTATAGAAGCATCTTAAAGTAAGTTATTTTCAGGTTTAGTCGTCTGCTTTCTGTTTATGTAATCCGTCTGAAATGCGCATTTCTCTCTGGCGCAAAGATCGCGAGTCAGCATCGTCAACTTCATCTTTGCAGGCGACAGTGACAGACAGAAAACACTTGTTTATTAATAAACAATTAAAATATATCCTTGATATATTTGACTTATTCATAATCAATAGTTTTGCCGACTCTTTGTGACAGCTTTTAGGTGCTTTATTGGCAGCGCCATCCCTACAACGCGTCACCACCGCATCAACATTCCGCATTCCTACACTTATGAAATGCAGTTCAATGTGGAAGTAATCCAAGTATTCAGAATACGTTACTCAGATTGAGTAACTTAACGGAATACATTACAAATTACATTTTGGGGCATGTATTCCGTAACGAAATACGTTTTGAAAGTATCCTTCCCAACACTGGACACCAGTCAGTAATGGGACCCTCCGATCAACATTCATTTACTTTTCTCAACACTAACACTTGCTCCTCAGGTACAATCCGCTTGCCAGCCCATTCACTCTCAACAGCAGTCCATCTTCCAGCTCCTAACAATGCAATCGCCATGGAACCACTACCAGTCCCAGCCCATCTCCGTTCCCTAATTCTATCAGGTGAAACTATCGATCTTTCTTCTCTACTGACTTTCGTCCCTCTCAATGAATCCCACCGCTCGTTTGACTTAAATCGTTAATCTTACAAATTCTGTACAACCTTCAAAACGAGTTCTCACACTTTCAGAATTCTGCGTTGCTTTTGCCAGATACACAGAAGTAATTTGTACTTCATTTCCAGCCAGACGCAAGGAATTAAATGACTAACGTTACCTCTCTACCATAGCAGAGCTCAGTGTCTCTTTCGGAGGTAGAAATTTTTATACATACCATAAGCTTTTTTCAGCTAAATGCACCGCCCGCGTCACACACTGGAACCAGTGTCCTTACTGGGGAGCCTTGGACCTCGAACTATATAACAGAGTCTTCTTAGGCGTTCGAAGCCCTTCTTGCACCATCTGCAGGTCTATCATTCATTCTACGTTCAG